CAATGTCCGAAACCCTGTTGAACATTGCAATGGGGATGATTCTTTCGAAGCCTCCATCTACCAAGGATCTCACTACACTCTCTAATCAAGACCCTCAAAGAGGTTTCCCTTCGCACCCCGGCCCACCCCCTTCGCTGTTCGCCATTCCTCTCCCTTCCTCGGTCCTTCCTCGGCCCTTCGTCGCGCGGTGAGGTTCCAGTCCTTCATGTCTACCAGAGCCTTCACTTACACTGAGTTCCTGGCGGCGACCATCGACCAGGAGGCCGGCCCAAAACGAGTGAGAAGGAGCATAATCAAGTCTAATGACTCACATGCTTCATAGATCCACGTAGCTGTTTGTGGTTAGGGAATCTTAGGGGATCCCCTTTTATTGGACGTGTTTTTGGTTTTGATGGAAGGCATGATAGATACCCTATTCCAATATCCTTCAACTTGAAGGTTGTTATTCCGGAGCGCTTCCTCCAACAGTAATATCCACATACGATTGACTGAAAAGAAACATGCATGGTATTTGTCTAAAATGATTAATGAATCAAGCTATGCTGGCATGTTCGAAACATATTTTTACTACATATTACATTGAATGTTTGCTATGGTATTTGTTTTTAGTGTTCGTTTTCAACTATTTGATGGCGGTTAGCAACGCACGAGTTAGAACCATGTCACATTGTTTGTTTCTGTCCAGAAAATGTCCCAAACGTCACTTTCCTGCGGGTAAATCATTCAGAACTTTGTAGAATCGTAGAATCCCTCTCAGCACAATCTGATGAAATTTTGATGTTGGCCAGTGTGAGTGATGCTATGTGATTAGCATAGCATTCATAGGATTACAAAGAATTGTAGCCTTCTTCGCACGACATGACAATACTTCGGACGACCTGGAGTTTATTTCCTAACCACACTGATATATCCCGTTGGGTGGATGCCTTCAAAGTGTGCCCTTTTCTGATCATTCGGGTGTGCTGCCCTTTTTGGCCTTTTGCGTTCCATTCTTGCCGTGTCCTTTCCTTGCCTCTTTTTTGTACTTTCCTTTCTTGCCTTTATTTCCATGTCTTGTCCTTTTCATTGTCTTTGTTCTGTTTCCTTTCCTGTATTCTTGCTTTGTCCGTCCTGCTGTCTATAAATATAATTTGTGTGGATAGGGTTGGACCTTTGTTTCGGCATGTTTCAGCTCACTGCATCCATACATGTGGGTTCCCTTCCGGATCGCTCCAGACTGGCATGGATTCGATTCTTACTGTAAATAAACACACAACCACAAAGTAAAATATTAGTTGAATTTAGTCATCATCCCAAAATATGTGATCACGATCGCTTTTATGATGTCCTTCTTCGTTCAACAAATAGCATTATTTATTGCACAAAATTAACCCGCAGAGGGTACCCTCACTCATGAAGGCTTCATACCAAGAACAACCCCTGACCCTGAATAAGCTAAGGTGTTCTTTCCTGGTTTTTGGGCATCCCTGTGCAGCCTTTCCTTTCTCCATCTAATATAATGTATTTCTTGAAAACCAGCGCAGCCAAATCCAAACAGATCTTGGCAAACTTCTCTTATCAAGACCTTGTGACATCAAATTAAACATTACCCCAAAACAACTCACAAAGAACATCCCCATGAAGGCGCTGTGCACAATATAAGAATCAGCAATATAAGAAGGCGCTGCGCCTTTCCAAAATGGAGAACCCTTCTATTCCCTTTCATTTTCCACCTCACTATTCCCACAATTTCACAGCTAAACATCTTGGGCCAGCTCCCGCAAACAAAAGACAACTCTTGGAATTGCTCTTGGGGAGGCTAATGTTTTTTGAGTGCATGTCATTGGCGGGCGGGGAGGAACTACTTATGAGATGGACCTTCTCCAGCTAATTGTTACTGCTATCCTATTGTGCCCAGGCAGTTCCCGCAGGAAAATCCATGGATCAAGCCCAGATCACACCGTCACGCGACCACGCGACACCGAGAGCCAGGTGTACACGACACCAAAGCTCCTCCGTGCAGCCTTCGATTGCTTCGATAGAGATCAGGACAGTCCGAACCGGTGAACGATCGACCGGATCGACCGGATCGACGGTGGTGAAGCGAACACTTATATAAGACCCTTGGTTGGGTGCATGCAGCTTCACGGAATCCGGGTGATGTGTGCTGACTCACACCAGTCAGTGCAGTTCATCCTTGCCCTTTGGGGAAGCTTGAGACCATAGCCGCCATAGCCACTGGCTGAGGAGTCTTATGTCAAGTGTCCAACACCTTGTGTGGGATCGTAGCAGAACAAGAGGAGTTTGACCCGGTTCTCATGTAGAATCATCTGTAGTTCTCCATACGATCCTTTGGGAGGTGATTAATGCCTCAGCAGTTTAGCCTGGACTTGAACATCCATCACGGAACCGGAATTCCTGGCCGATCGAAGTGTTCGTTTATCTCGAAAAAAAATGGCTCAAAAACCTACCATGTCAGTTCCGACAAGTGAACATTGGACGCATGTAGTTCACCCATTGGGCGCTTCAACACCAATCCCTTTGGGATTGGTGTCCAGAGGTGCCACCCCACCCATCTTCAGAAACCACACCAGCCACACCGAAGCAACGGCGCAGTGTGTGCACACCGGCACACCGGAACGCCGGAGGATGGCTCGATCTCCTTGATGGAGCTTTCCAGTGGGCATTTGTTGGGCACGTTGTCGATGGAGGAGCTTCATGAGATCATGACCTGGTGCGATGAAGATGCTCGGAGGGGAGGGCGGTGGAGAGGTCTGCTGGTAGCTGCGTTTCATCCGTTTTGAGATATAGTTCTTTGATGTTCTTTTGAGGGAGCTGAATGAGCGACACTTACACTTTGACACTGCTGCTGGTGCTGCCGGTGGCAGTAAGAGGGGTACAACAAACCATCTGATCAACTCTGGCAAGTTGCGCCGATAATCTTCAACTTGGGTATTTGAAATGGCTCAGCTTGGCTCAGCGAAGCTCAGCGATCGTTTGTTCACTCGGGTGATCTTACGACGTGTTCCTTCAGTTTGACCTTTGCGCGTGGGGGCTACCGCCCTACCCCAAGCGCTTCTGGCAAGACTCCAGACGCAAGCGCTTCGTGCAGGGAGGGTCTTCACTTCAGCTCTCCGCTTGGGTAGCTAGAGGGACTTCACCAGCTAGCCGCTAGCCCACCCTCACTACATCAGAAGTATTCAGAAGTCACACTAATTATGACATGTTTAGAACTTATATGATCTTATGGGTTCTTGGACACTGTTTTCTTTGGTTTGTGCCGGATATTCTTAGTGTTTTCAAGCCACAACAACACAAAACAACCCATTAACAACCCGATTTTCTTCACTGGTGCAAAAAACCTAAGACGATCTTGCAAGGGGTGTGGTCGTCTCTGATCAGTAAAGAGGCTCAGGTCAGGACCTGGACATTTGCTTTGCCGATTAGCTCACCAAAGGGTTTGACTCTTGCTTCTCCCTCAGCAAGCTTAGCATGCTCACACCCACGCAGCTTGGGGATGTGAAGATCAGATGCACGGCCTCCCATTTGGGCCAGGCGAAAACAAGTGTAGCCATGATACACCCGGGAAAATTAACATGGAACCTGAAAATGAACCTTTGGAAGACGATTTCCCTCTACAACCCAGTGGTTTTCAGGTTCCACGATAAATTCCAGTGTGCACATGTTGTGATACAGTATTTGCTTTGAATCTTTGTTGGGTGGTCACTAGGTAACACACGCACACACATTACATTCTTCAGCCCTGGTCCATTGAACAATTCAATTCAGCAATTGATTCAACTCGTCCGCAAGGATGGCGATATGCAAATTGATTTTCGGGAGTTCGAGGCGATGTTTCAGTCCTGAGATGCAATTCGACGAGTGGCCTCAGTGAGTCATCGGATTCCCCTCAGTCTCACCGATGCGTTTTATAACCCCCTTTTGTGCTTCAAGGTGGCCTTCGGAACTTGAATCAAATATCAATAATATATGCAGTATATAGGCATACACAAATCATATATATGCAGAGTTATGCAGACATATCATACAAATTCCTTTGCCGTATGCGTTTTGGAGTGGCTAAAGTTTAAAGCTTGCGTTGTTCTCAGCTGTGAAAAAACATGTTGCTTCTCACCTTCGGTCACTTTGAAGAAGGGGAGCCTTCTTTTTTTCAAGTGTTTAAACGCGTCAGCCGTTCTATGGTTCGTGGGATGTCCTGTTCCCAAATGCTCAAGAGCAATGGCTTGACGATGCTCAACCAGGTTGCCCCAGCAGTTCTTTGACTAATTCTTTGGTTTCAACTTGCACGACTTTATGCGGTCTATGCCAATGTTGACCAATTCCTGGACGGGGCTGCCAAGAAAAGATACAGTTGCCGAAATTTGGTCCAGTCAACATGCGTGTGCAGAAAAGTGATTTGACTGCCGACGGGAAGGGGTCGACCTGAAGGAGTTTCCGGCTTTGTCGGACGGATGTCCGCCACGAAACGACCAGTGTCAGTCCGGTCGGTCTGGCGCGGATGTAACGCCCTATCTACGGATATCTACGGATCCGGACCTGTTTTTTACTGTTCGTCGGTGGGTGGATAGAACTCCATCTAGGCAAACTCCCTATCTTATTTGGGGACTACGTTCTAAACATCAAGATCAATTTGGGGGATGCACAGCCGAGCCCCAGCCCCTGAGAGAGCCCCCCAGAATTTCAAAGGAACCCAGGAAAAGGATACGATAGGAGGAAAGAGATGATATCGAAAACCAACCTGTGGGAAGTCTTTTTGCACCCTGAAGGATAGAAATGATAGAACATGTCTTTGCATGGAGGGGTGATGTTTGGAGTGCTTCTTGAACATCCAGTCACTGAAGGGCTTGAGAACCTTATTGGAAACTCCAGGTATCTCCGGGTGTTTGTTTGGTGTGAACGATTACGCGCATCATATGTATCAGCCAGTAGTAGTACGTAGTATGTTTTTTCGTGCGCACCATTGCACTGGATGTTTTGTTCTTTTGCTCGCTTTGTGTGAGGAGGATAGTCCTTGCGTGCGTTGGCTTTGGAGATTGTTGCCTGGGGCCTGAGGGGCTCTCTCAGTGGACTGACCAGGTTGAGACTGACCAGATCATCGAGTTAACATAGAACATGGCCCCAAAAGTGTGAGGAAGAGGATCAATGAGCATGAACGGTCCATGGATTTCGTCCTCAGTCCTTCATGTTTTCGTATATATGTGCTTTTCGTGACACCGGTGAGAGGCGGAAGACATCAGGAGATCAGATCCGCGTATGCCACGCCACGTGGCATCGGTCCATCGGTGACACCGACACGTTGAAACTGGTTCTATCCATCACGGCCCACGGTGAACACAGCGGCTTGCTCTGACTATTTGTTATCTATTTATTCAGTTTGTGGGGTCCTGTTGGACTCTAGTCCGGCATTCCATTCTATCATTCAACATGTAATTTGTTTGTTCTTGTTGTGATTCTAAGGCTTCGGTGCCACGCATTTTGAACCCTTGAGATCAACCTCCCACATCCACAACGTGAGGCAAGAAGAACTTGGTGCCGAAGATCTGGGTCGATTTCTCATGCAGGGTGCCCCAGGACGCGGGCGGACGCGGGCTCCCGGCGTCCTGTGGGGTTCCCATGGGTTCCCTGCATAGTGCAACCCTCGTCCTTCCGCTGCAACTGCCACGGCTTGTAGCAGCTGAGTTGCCATTGAAGGAGGCATGTGCCGAGAATAGGAGACTTTGACCAAACAACAGCACGCAATCGTGGGAAGAGCTGTGTTGGGCAAAAGGTTTCCTGGTTTCGTTGCTCGAGGGAATTGCCAACATAGAATCCGGTGGGGGCGGGTCAAGGTATCTTAAGTTCTCGACATTCTTGTATTGAGTTTCTTCCCCTGGGAACCCCTTGTGGTTCGGATTTCTCAGCTAGCAGTGCCAAGACACAGCTGCCTGCCAAGATCCCACTTGCCCCTCAGTCCTCGGCAATTCCGAACGCTTCAGAAAGAGATGGGTTCTGGATGTTCTGGCATGTGGCGCAAAAAGCTTTCCCTGTGCGCAAGCTCCGGGCGCGCGGAGGTTCGTGACCTCCTGTAGCCGAGCGCCGCTTTTGGGGCTGCCTGGCTTCGTACGATCACGGGCGAAAAACTTCCCAATGGCGGCTCGGGAGGTTCATAGTCATGCTGCCCCTCAACAAAAGGGTAGTTATATAGAGATTAGAGATCATCAAAATCATCAAAGGATGATTTTGAGGGCACCCCTCAGAGGGCCTGACACATGACCTATACCCCAGAGTTCCACAATGATCAAGATGCTTTGCAGTCACCAAAGCAGCGGCCACGTGTGAGTGGCAGGAAGTTCAGGAGTGACAAGGGCGCCACCACCTAGAAGCCTAGAATCCTTTGAAGCTGCTACTGCGCCTCAACAACAGCATACTGTATATATATATATATTGTATATTGTATAACACATATATATATATATATACATATGCCCAGGAAGATTAACATGGAACCTGAGAACCACTGATTTGTGGAGGAAGCGAGTCTTCCGAAGGTCCATTTGCAGTTTCTATGTTGATCTTAGGAGATGTGCGTATATACTATGTATATATATATATTTTTTGAGTGGTGTATATATATATAAGCTATACTAGTAGAAGCCTTCACGGACTGGAGCTTTGAGACTCCATCGTTGTCGAACATTCAGGGGAGACATGTCCAGGGTCGCCCATCAACCCCCCACACGACCAATGCCGAGACAGATTGGGGCCCAATGCTTTCGGCATCCACGTCCACGTCCCGACCTGTCCACGCCCAGCCCCACCAACGTCCCGATGTCCCATATCAAACCGTTTGAATCCCTACAACTGCCGTTCAACTGCCAGACTGGAGGTTCAAAAACTTGAACCCCAAGTTCTGCGTGCACCGCGTTCCCGACGGCGAACGACTTCCCACCAGCGCCACGCAGCTTGGTGGGAGCTGGTTTTGGGGTTGGAACTTTGAAGCATAAGTGGCTGGAAGGGTTTTGGAGATCCAGTGCTAGATGGATGTGGCTCACAACATTAATTTTGCAGTCTCATCAAGGAATAATATATGTATATATATACACGTATATGTGTTTATTTATATATATATATATATTCATATATTGTTACAATAGATCCTTTTACTCTCCACCACAAGGTTTGAATGGTACCCAGGTTGGGAGCAAATGACATACCCGTAAGTCGGCCTGGGTTGCATCGTGAGAGGGTCGAAGAGTGCGCTGCAATCATGGGAGATGTTGGCCGATTTTGGGATACGCTTGCAGATCTTTTTGTGTTTGCCGGCCTGAGAGGAAAAACAGACTGACCTACTCACAGGTGGTAGATGTTTGAAAGATTTCCCTTCACTGCCATGTGGATTGTTGAGGGAGACATTGAGGCACTAAGAGATACTGCTGTGTCGTCAGCTTTCCATGCCGTTTTTTGGAGCTTTGAGTTGCACTTGTTTAAACGAAAAGCTAGCAGTTAGCGGTCTTTGACCTGGCGCTTCGCGTGTTCTTTACAAATTGCAAGGACAGTGCTTTACACATTATATCTCAAGCTTTGGTTTTTGGTGGATTTTTTCTGAGGTGCTCATTGCTCCTCAATCCAAGCTTGTTCCTGCCGAGTGGAATGAATCGAGCGTTGCCCGCGCTGTTGCCTCCTCAGGTGCGCCAATCTTTTGAAGTTGCCCGACTACACCAGCTACCAGTCCTTGAAGACCAAGGTCCTCCAAGCCATCCGTGCCTCGGTCGACTGCTGACTAAATGCTATGCGCCCTTGCATACGAGTCAGAACACCCGTGACTGCCCATCACAAATCAAGACGTTTTCTTCCACTTCCATGTCAAATGAGCCAGATTGATTCCAACAAATTTGGAAGCTCCCCAAGTCCTTTGTTTACTTGGATGAGGACACCAACAGCAGCTAGAAGTTCCACTCGTGCTCAATACTTTGCCTTTCCGTTGTCGATGGACACAAGCCATGATGCTAGATGCATCCCTGCTTATGCTCGCCCCAACACCAAGTCCGCCAACAAGTCCTCAACCCTCAATCAATACCTCTAGGATTCCTAGTCGGGTATTGTAAGCCAGCACTTGCGAATTCATTTAGCTGATAGCTTGTGAACTTAGTCACTTTTTGGTAGCAAGGCCAATCTTTACCTTGATGTCGTCACATTGCATTCCTGGGTGCACACCGTGCGATGTCCTCTAACCGTCGGGCAACGTGCCGTCCAAATCCTAGGTGCAGAGGCCGGCTTTGATTTGAGCTGAGATGGTGCCCTCTTTCGGGCGGAATTGATGCCCCATAAGTTCATAGAGATCAGGATTGGTGATACTATTTAGGAAATTAGAAGCGGAATTTGTTTTTGTTTCATAAACGCTTCAACCAACCCTGATCAAATTGGCTCGATTGGAACAGATCACGAAAGTTCATCGTTCTGAAACATTATATACAATATGATATATTCAATATATCAGAAGGCTTAACTTTACATTTGCATATTTTAAATGACAATAGGAATGATAATTGATTGAATAATATATATCCAAATATTTGGAATGCAATAAACATGTAAAACATTGCAAAAACAAGAAAAATATCAATACATATTTAATACATCATATATGTAATATATATATATATATATTTAAGGGCTTACGCCCGACAGCCGGCCAGGGGCCCAAGCAAAGGGCTTGTTGCAGTCGTGGTAGTGTGCTTGTCATTGTAGTTGTCGTTGTTGCTCGTGTTGCTGTTGTGTTTGGCCCATCTTGGCGCTATCTTGGCCCATCTTGGGGGCTATGTTGGCCCATGTTGGGCTATGTGGCCCATGTTAGCCCAGCATCCGCCCACGATGCAGACGAAGCACCCCGGTGCGGCACGCATTTCCAGCATTATTTGGGCCTATGTTGGGCCATGTTGATTTTGCACCGCAAGATCCGAAAAATTAGACAAGCCAAAAACACTGTAAAACGCGGTAGCTTCGGTAGGTCCGCGCATGGTCGGCGGCGGGGGCGGGATTTCCTCTCTCCTACGGAGAGGAGAGATGGCCTACGGCAAGGACACGGCCTTGGGGCCTCCCGGGCCCCTGGCCGGACTATTCCATACATTTATATGCATGTTACAAATACCTACATTGGTGTAGGCTTGGGGCTCAATGTAATCAGAATATGGCATAATATATAAAAGACACTTATTTATTGAATCTGGAATGACGGAATTTATATTAAACAATTATTTTGGATATGTTGTTCGGAAAGATTGTTTTTAAATATAATATTGTTCGGAAATTGATGATAGATTTGTAGGATGTTAGTTTTGGATTGAATTAGGTATGAATATTGGTTATTTTTTTTGAAAAATATTGAATATAAATAAGTATGTTGTTATAGTTATAGTGGAAAAAAATAGTTGGTGGATTGTATGCGTGGATATATATTGAGGTTGTGGGCGGTTATGGAGAATTTATGAAAAGATATATATTTGTCATATGATAGTTAATATTTTATAGGTTTTTTGTAGGAGGAACGTCTGAAGCGTAATTGGGAGTTGATCGAAAACCCCGTGTAAGGAGCTTTATATAAAACAGCCTTTTAGATGTTGTTAGAATTATCCGCGAAAGATTCGCGATGAGGTTCGCGAAAGTATTTTTTTTTTTTTTCCGCGAAAGATTTATCGAAGGTTATCACTTTCATTGTTTTCCTTTCTATCGGACTGATAAAGAGCTAGTGGGCGGAAGTGTCCCCATATGTCACAGACTAACGAATTGAAGCCTTAACATTTCCATGTCCGGGGAAAGCACCAGTGAAATTTCGCGAAAGATTCGCGAAAGTTTCGCGAATGCGTCGCTAAAGTCCAGGTTCTTAGCTTGAGGTCTCCTAACATTCCCCAAGCTGCATCACCCTGTGTTGGTAGCTGACACGAGGATTGGGTTGAGTTGTGCCTGATTCTATTTGGCACAGTAGCTGTGGAAACGTTTAACCATCTACTGGGGTTATGCTGCAAGATGTCTCTCCTTATTTTGTGATACTATGACATGTTCCGGCTCATGTTAGCTAGATATGGTTGTAGGACCATACTTCGCGATGAGGCCGCGAAAGATCCGCGAAAGATATCTTTTTTCCGCGATGAATGGCTATTCTAGGATGAAAGAATATTGATCAACCACCAATTGCGCATAGGAGGATAGATTATTTAGAAATTATGATGTAAATCGATGAATACGGCACGGAGAATTGCTCTTGATTTTGGGATGGATATGATATCGGATGTATCGCGCTAAACGAATATGGGATAAATATTAATGATATTATATATTTTATTTGGCTTAGGAAAAAGAAATGTTGAAATAAATATGTTTTTAGTTTTTTAAATATTAGATCTACTAATGAAAATATTATCATTAAATAAAATATATTTGGAATATTGGAAACAATAATAATTATTTTGCAAAAATAAGGATGTAATTTTTTTATATAGCAATAAAATCTATGGATATTTTTTTAATATTGATTTTAATAGTTATAATTGGGATATAATTTGGTTGGAAATTTATCAATTGATCTAAACATATATTCTTCATGGATATATTTTTTCTTGATGGCTATTAAATAATTTCATCTGATGGAAATAACAAGGGAAATATTAATTAATACGGAACATAAATGATTAGAATTATGTAGGAGGAATTTCTACGAATCAGATTCAAGATAATTCTTCCTGGAATTCATCGTAATTTGGATTAATTTACGGATTAATATTTGGATGGGAGAATGGATATTAGCAAGGAATTTCATTACCTATTGGGATTTATTTGAATGGAGATTCATGAAAATATTCTTTATCATTTCTAATGGGATTTTATTTGCGGATTTCTATAGCAATAATTGGTGGGCGGATTTCTATAGCAATAATTGGTGATGCATAGAATTATAGAATCCCTTTAGACATAAAGATTTCAAGACCCATAACGGTTATTTAAACAATGACAGGAAAGAAATAGATTAATAATGAATATCAAATGGATTCTATCCATGTCTTTTCCCAATTTCAAGAATCAAAGAATTATTTGGTTTTCGTTATTGGATGGAGAGATTTGTTTCGTGATTTTGCTTGATGATAATATGTATTGTCTAGAGTTTCGAGAAGCATTTAGATGGAATATAAAGCATAATGACCAATGATTTTGATTAATCATTCATGAAATCGGTGATTTCTTCATTTGGCCCATAAGGTTCATTTTTTGTTATACGAAAATAGAAAATAAAATTAAATATCAAATTATTTCAAGATGAATTTATGAAATTCATATTTATGAATTATTGCATTTCCTGTGAATATATATATTTTTTTTTATAATGAATCGAATAGAATTTTTGCATTATCGTGAATTAATCTTATATTTTTTAATGAAGAAATTCATAATATAATATCTATTGATGATCTGTGATAATCTATGGGAAATGGAGATTGATATTTCCTATAATATATTGGAAATATCCCTCGTTACAAGGCAATTGATGATCTTCGCATTGTTGAAGGCGACCAATTTCTTCTTGATCCATATTCTTCCGGAGAAAATTGTAGAATATTGCCAATTGATAGTTGGAATTGGCACAATGACACAATTCTTGAGGGCCATTTGACCGCAATCATACAATGAAAGACAAAGATTCCCACATTTCAATTGTCCAAAGCCTGCTTTAAAAAATCTATTGACAAGAAGACCTTAAAGATCAAGGTGGAATCTATAGATCAGAAGAAGCCTAAAGGCAAAAATCGCGGCAAAGGACGTGCAAAGATCGTGGAAAAGGCAAGAAAGGTATCATCGACGAAATTGAAGATGATGAGGATGATTGGGATGAGAAGTGATTTGAAGAGGAAAATCAGGAAGAACCTGAGATTGAGGAGCCTGAGATGGCCAGAATCGCTAAGGCCTAGCATATAATCATTACAATTGGTCCTGGGAGTACGAATCGTAAGGGAAATCCTATTCGATCGTTTGTTGGCATTTTTATTTCGCATTTTGGTGGATTGGCAAGGCTTTATGAATTTCTTCGGCAATTGCTTTAGAAACCAATTCATCTTCGTCGTTCCCCAAAGATTTATCGTCGCTGCATTCCGGGATGGCCTCAATTCTGTACATAATGTGCTCAGAGCCCTAACACTAATCCTCACGCCGTGTGGTTTTATCCGTCCTGCCTCCGGTAGGTCGTCTGATCGAATGATCTTATAAAAAGGCAATCTATTGGAATTTTTTCGCATCGAATCGAATTGATTCTTTATGTTGGACAGGATGGCCAATTCTTCGTGTTCCGATAGCTTCAACGGAATCTCATATTGAATTTATTGCGCCCTTCGCACTAGGCGTTCGAATTCTACATTGGAGTCTTTGACAGGCTGCTCCTGCTTTTTGCGGCATCATTTGAACAAATCCATTATATTGGAATTCTTGATGATCTCAATGTCCATCAATCGCGCCCTCACCTATTCTAGGAAATAGGACACACCATTAGGAATTGCTAACATATCTACATCCAATTCTTCATTAATTTATTATATAATACCAATGCCCTTTGATAGACCGATATACGAGTGCAATGAAACCTCTTTCTTTCTCTTTCTATCTTGCATTTTCCGGATATATACATATATGTATATATATAATCTAATCGTCTTCCCAATTTCGGAATCATTGATATATTCCCCGTCAAAGGAAAGAATTAAAATTATCGGGTGTATGTTTTTCTCTTCGCCTTGCCACTCCCATGCGGCCCCATGGACAGCGGTATCGTTCCCTCCATGGTGTATTCGTTATTGTCTAAATGGTGACATGGGTTTGGATATATATAATAAGCCCTTCATTCGGGTGTCTGTCAAGGATTCATCAATCGAAATATCATTTGCCCTTCCATTCCTAATATAAATGGACTAGAATGGTCTAATCAATTCGATTTCTCCTGAAACCGCCTATGGGATCCCCAATCTGTTCATTTGCCGAGGCTCGCCATTCTATGAAAGGTTTCTATATCGTTATCGGGCATTATCTTCGATCTTTGCCTAGATTTTGCTTCGTAACATCGATATCAATATTAAAATAGATTCAAGACCTGGAGACACATCTCCTAGAATCAAATATGGGAAGATCAATTAACCCAATCGACCCTCCCGAAATGAATCGATATTTTTCATTTCCATTACCCCCAAAATATTTTCAAGGGGATCAATAGAAATTCTCTACACCACCTAGGGATTTCAATTAAATACCCCTTTGCTAAAAATATCATAACATATCGCATACCGCACCTCTTTTAGACAACATAAAATGGTTATAATTCAA